CAACTTCTAGAAACTCAAAATTTCAATTGTTTAATCGGTTTTCCTTATAAGAGTTTAAAAGTGCATCTGAAGATTCAGATGCACTTCAGGGATAGTATTCACCAAAAAATCATTAATTTTCTCTGGATCCTTCAGATGTTCAGGAATATCTGTCGATATTACATTTACGATTTCATTGTATTTCAGTGATTTCCAGAGCTCTTTTCTATTACAATTTTTAAAGTTATAACAGAAGTTAACTTTTTTTCACGTTTTATTGCACCANCGCAGACGTGAAAGTAACTAGGACTAAAATAGGATATAAGAAAATGGTATGTATTTCCTCAAGTCAGCAAAAGAGTTTCGGTGTGTTTCTAATGATTTTTTTTTGGTCTTCCTACGCCAGAGATTCCAAGTTTACTGTTCAGTTACATAGAATATTCGATAAAATAACAGTTCTTTTCGATATGAATATGTTTCTTGTATTTGATTTGTTAAGTTATTGTAGATGTGATATTTGTGAGACAGTTCGGTTCTTAGGTTTTCAAGAGACTATTCTATTGAAAAATGGACAGCCGATCTTTGCTTCTAATGACACTTTGATTTTACTTTGTTAGGCAATACTGACCGATTTATTTTGTTGTTGGTAACCTCAAATAATTTTACAAGATATGACACTATTCAGTTGCTAATTCAAATTATGATGATCCCTCTCCGAGAAGGAGTTGATATTAGTTAGATAGGCATACCTTCAAGAAATATGGACAGGCAATTAATGCTATAAATTACACTTTGCTTTTACTTCGTTTGACAATACTAACTGGTCTATTTCGTTGTTGGTAACCTCAAATAATTTTGCAAGTTATGACACTATTCAGCAGCGAATTCAAGTTTTGATGGTCTCTCTCCGAAAAAGAGTTGATAATAGTTAGATATTCGTAGCAAATAAAATCTAATAATCACTTTTCAGGGCGGAAAGAAAAATAAATATTTTGACTTCTGGATTCCTTGTAACCATAAAAACTACAGCCTGTTGTTCATTTTATCTCCTGAAGATGCCAACTTGGTTGGTGAAACGCACGTCGAAAAGGGTAGTTCTGTTCGAGAAATATGCTTGTTTAGGAGTTATTCTACGCCAGTGGTTCCAGTTTAGCTTTTCATTAGTTTTGAGGTTGTGTAGGGGAGACCGGGTACAAAAGTAACACTTTGTACTTTCACTTCGATTTCTGGCTGGGTGTTACTGTTTTTTTTTAAATTAATATAACCATGTATAAATTCAGTTTATATCCTTTACACTAGTAACTCGATTTATTATATTATGATG